CCCAGGGTTTATTCTCCAACAGGCTGCTGCAGGGTGCAGAGCCCAGGGGTGGCATCTGCTGTGACAATCACAATCGGGTCTCCTCCAAAGCTGCCAGACAGTGCTGGCACCAGGATGGGTCCTGGGGTTCTTCCATGGGTGGGCAATGATCTCCACTGATGTTACTCTCCAAACCTCAAAATGCTTGGTGGAAAACTTCCTGCACCAGTCCAGACATATCCTCCACTAAACCTCAGGAAAAACACATTTATTTGAATTATAAAGCCTATAGAAACCAAACCATGACTGTGAGGGAGGGGGAAACAAAGYGATGTATATGTGTGAGTGTGTGTGAGAATGGCATCCGTTACTCATTATCACACAGCTGAAGGTCTGGCTGCAAATTACAAAYCAGGCAGCTTTATTTGCCAAGGAAAAACATCCAGAAATTGCAGTGTGGGTTATAAATATCAGAGCAAGGGTGTTTAAACAAGCTGTTGGCTTGCATTTGCCCCAGCACTGGGACTCTACCTGCTCGCCACCCTGCTCCTGGCTATGCAGATAAAGCACTGTAAGAACACAGCACTGACATTTTATTGAATAGTATGGGCCAACACAGGAAGCTGATTGATTTGCTCACATGTAGCACAGCTCTCATTCCAAATATATCATGTGCTAGGAGAGGCTGTAACCCTTCCTTGTATATGATGCTCTACTAATTGGGCAGACAGGCAAYGTTGTGGAAAATGAGAAATTAGATTACTCTTGGAATCACGTTCAGCCAACTTAAAATTCAAGCTCCAGCAAGTCTGCTTGACACTGACTTACAGGAGTGTTTTGAAAGCATGGTTGAATTTGGCTGGTGTGAAATAAATAGGAAAGTGGGACAAAAAACTTGAAGAAGTGATATTGGGTCCCAGGGGAATAAGCAAAACAAGGAGAATCTTTTTTGCATTGCTGGTATCATTTATGCATGGCTGCTGCTTWGTGAGATGATCTTCAGTCTGTTGCTGGTTTTGAGAGGCAACAGAGCATGCAAGGGCAGCTATTCCACAAAGCTGTCACATCCTGGACTGTGTTGTGTGACTGATGAGCAGCTACTCATGTGGAAGCAGGAATTAAATCCAGATGTTTAATTTGTTTCAAATCAAAGAGAATCATTCAAACKATGACTTCTGTGAAGAAAGGGGAAGTTATGTCAAGAAAYCATCATTTATCAGCAGATAAATAAAGATGGYTTGTCATGGGGAAAATGGCACAACTTATGTGTGTTGTCAAACAGCAAGCAGTACAGGCTAGATCTGTGTCCTTAGCTGCTAAATAATTATTTAGGGTCCTGAACAGCCCTGTGTCCCCTCACAGTGAAGCAGAGCACTGCAGGTAATGCTGGGTGATCAGAGCTGACATGCTGGGAGCACACTGCCAGCATGCAATGCAGACATGGCTCTAAAGGGCAAACACTGAAGCARTAATCTTGATATAAAATATTTGCTTTCTGGGCCCATTTTCACAGATCTGAGTTCCCTGATTGTGTGTAACACATGTGTCAGTTTGCTCATGAAGCCTCTGCAAACTGATGAATCTTTCAGGCTCATTGCCAATAATGGTTGCAGGGTTGTTCAGCTCCCAGACAGAGATGACAGAGAGAACATTTCTTTAGGGCTGTATCGATGAGGGCACCCTCCCCCTCATGAAACCCTAACCCWTCTGAGGTGACCTCAGGGTGCAACCCATCCATCCTGCTGTGAAAATCCTATTCTGGCATGCAACAGCTTGACCCCATCACTGTGTTGGGCACTAAGGAGCAGGTTTCTGCCAAAACACCCACAACAGCAGTTAAGGGATGAACTCATTTGTGAAAAACAWCCCACTGATGTTGAAGCTTTACATGGAAGGAACATTTTCTCAACCTGAATTTTCTCATTGTCTAAAAGCTGCCAGGTTGTAATTTGTTATAATTAAACTAGATGAGGCTGATACTGGAAGGAGGCAAGCCAATTAGTTTGGGATGTCAATTTTTGTTTGCCACTGTCAAAGTCTGTTAAAGGACCTTGATAGATTGCTGGCTTGGCTTTTTCAACCTGATAATCCCCAGTGAAAAAAAGGCAGGCAGCTGGGTGCAGTGAAGCACATTTTGAGTTCAATACTGAGAAAAAGGCTGCCCCAGCCAAGATTCTGCTTGGAGGTGACCATGGAGGAGCAATGCCTGAGCTGTGAGCTGGAGGAAGAAGWGAAACTCAGGATCCAAACATGGAGAAGAGGCTTGCATGGCAGCTGTGAACAAAGAAAGCCTGCACTTGAAGTAATTTGGACTAAAATTTGCCATTTTTCTGGTGCAGAACCACAGGCTTTTTGGTAGCTCAACTGCATATTCTCAGGTTTTAAACAAGAAAAGTTAGCATTGCCACCTACTAACCAGCAACCATACCCCTAGCTTCCAAATCCAGTTAATAACATGTGGCAAATACCATCGCCTTAATCACGGAATTACATAATCAATTCAGGTGGAACAGACCTCTTAGACCATCAAGTCCAACCAAGATCCAGCACCACCCTGTTCACCTGGACCATGGCACTGAGTGCCACGTGCAGTCTTTCCTTACACACCCCAAGGCTGGTGACTCCACCACTTCCCTGGGCAGCCCATTCCAATGTTCAATCACCCTTTCTGTGAAGAAATTGTTCCTAATGTCCAACCTWAACCTCCCCTGGTGCAGTTTAAGGCTATATCCTCTCATCCTGTCACTAGTTCCCAGTGAGAAGATTCCGAACCCCACCTGGCTACTGCCTCCTTTCAGGGAGTTGTAGAGGGTGAAAAGGTCATGTTTGAGACTCCTTTTCTTCAACCTAAGCAACCCCAGCTCCCTCAGCTTCTCCTTATAGGAATAGTGGTCCAGACCCTTCACCAGCTTTGTTACCCTTCTCTGGAAAATGTCACCTTTTGTACTATTGAAAGCAAGCAATGATTGGATAAAACCAGACATCAATTCCCATGGGTTTAACTGATGGAGTTATATTGAAAATGATCTATAATAGTTCATGMCACATCTTAGCTCTAAAAAGACACYCTTCAGCAAATCCAGGGTGTCAACTCTTTCATTTTAGAGAGTTCCTTCACATCAAAATTGAATTTCAAAAAACACACTTCAAATTTTAATTAAAAAATCTCTATGGATATGAAAGAGTCAAACCAATAATTCCAGAAATTGTAATATATAATCACTGCATGACACTGCACCAGACAAGAATCTGTTAATTCCTTGCTACAGTTTTTCTTTTCAGATCCTCAAGACATCACTTGCCTTTTTAGGAAATGTGGCTCAGTCCTCAGTGAACATGTAGTGCCATTATTTCTGCAGTCACATCCCCAGTTTTAGTGTCAGTTAAAGTACTGTGGCAAATCTGATTCTCTGTAAAACCTGAATCAAGCAGAAACTCAGGGAAAGAAAAAAAGTCTAGAAGTTTGAAGGACAGATCTTCAGCTGCCCTAAATTGCAATACTTTGCCACCAGAACAGTTTGTAGCAACTGATAATTTCTGAGGTTTTAAGATTGTCAGCGAATTCTGTTTTGCAGTACAAACCTAGTAATTTCCTGAAACTGCAAGGTTCAKTTAAGCTCAGAAAAGTATCCAAGTTTATTTAGAAAGTCAACATTTATTTCCTRTGTAGCTGGCTGATGTGGGACTCACCTAACACCTTACTGAAAGTAYGTTTTGCAAAAATAAAGGAACTRCTACTCAAGGCTTCCTACGAAAATRTTAGCTAATGTGYCCTATTATATTGCAGGACACAGCAATTAACATTCAAATGCACTTATTATTTTCAAGATTTTTTTTACCCCAACATGTACAGGTTAATTGACACTATTTTGGGTGTCTCAGTTTAGAAAAGAATGACAGTTTCCTTKGGCATTCCAGTCTGCATTTTGGCTCCTTCTAATGAAGACAAATTCCTGTCAACCAGGATTCTTCCGTTCGTTAAGTGAGACAGATGGCACACTCACTGTATTGATAATGATTYTGAGATTTTAAATGTATTTGGGATATAAGTGTATTTGGTTCCCCAGCTAAAAAGTGATCAATATTGCAAATGGAAGAGAGCTCAGGTTTGGTCTTTGCAGAAGTTTTGTGGCATGTACACAGTTCTGAAGGACCTCCAGAAAGACAGGTTTCAGACACATGGAGACAAATTTGTAAAACATGGTCCAGCAGACATGCCTTGGCAGAAAATCAAACACACACATCCAAACCTCTGCCAAAACAGTGTTTTGAACCTCAAGCAGGGTGGAGCACTCACTCCTGTTCTTCACACCTTGTCCTGAGGGCACCACTGGGTCCAGCTGGAAGCCTTTGCCTGAGGTATACCCAGCCCCAGAAATACTAAAGAAGGTGGTTTGTTTTTTTTTTTTTTTTAGTTGCCATTTCTTGTTGATTTTGTCTTAATACTTACTTCATACTCAATTTCAGGGAAGGTTTACTGAAGTTCAGGTTGTATTTTCTCCAAAGTCAGTGAGGTGTTTAAGTTACCCAGCTGGAAAGCAGGTGGATGTACCACAAGACCCTTGCCACCTTGTCACCTTGTCATACTTCCACTGTATTTTTTAGCATCCCCAGGCGGTCCATATTGTTGAATAACACAGCTTTTAGGAGGGAAAGAATCAAGGCAAGCTTTCTTCTAGCTCTCACTTATTCAGACTTGAAAATACATGATACAGGAAAAGACTGCAAATTTAGGAGCTAAATGTTGTTCAGATCAGCTGAAGATTTCTTAGGGTATCTGTGGAGGAGCTCAGAGGACATCTGTTCAGCCTCTGGTGTAGAGGTAGAGAAACATATCAGAAAGAACATCCTTCCTGGCAGTCCCACCAATGAAACCATAAAATGAGAAATGTGCAAAACCACAAACAGCCTCAAAACCCTCATGATGAAACCCAGATGAGTTTCTGCTCAATGTTGAGGAGAACAGGCTCTGCAGAGAGACGTGACTCTCTGCGGTGTGCAAATCCACACAGCACTTTATATTGTAATTCAGATGAAAGAAAGAAAGTGTCCTGTTTAAAAAGACTGCCAGCTCTCCAGAGAAARTAGCTTTGTGTATCACTTTATGCTAGTGGTGACAGAATAGAAAACAAAATACCACAGTTACATACATGTTCTTTGTCTAGAAGTATTTACAAATAACTTTACAAATTTTTACACACATTTTTTCAGTTTCGCTTGTTTACTTTTAAATTAAGAGAAAAATTAGTCCCCAGAGGCTTCTAAGGCTTCAGTTGGTGCCTTGTACTGTACATTCATGCTTGGCTTCTTCCTGGGAGAAGGGAGGAAAGGAGTTTTAAAATGTGCAAATCACAGACAATCTAAACAGCCCTGGATGTAAGGGTTCCTATAGAAAGGCATCCACAGAGCAGTTGTCCTACTTCTCTTCAAATCAGAGACAGCTACTGGTGATGGACTTGGGGCAAAAGAGATTAGGAAAGGAGGAGTCATATATGAATTTAAATTGTTTGGTGAATATGCTAGTGTTTGAACATCATAGATCAATTCTTACTGCATTCAGCAGTTCAAACAATGCAAGCTGCAGACATTGTGAATTCTAAATTCACAATGAAATTATCTCTGGTACACTGTTAGGGGTTGACTCCTGCTGCAGATTTTGGAGTCAAAATKATTGTTTACTGACACAATCTTGACCAGGCACAGTATGATCCTYTCAGTCAAAAAATACTGATTTTTTGAGAAAGACACACCTTCCTCCTAGTTTTCACAGGTTGTCTTGTTTTCATGCCTCAACACTAAACATAGTAAAAATACTGAAATTAAAAAAGAAAAMAATTTACAATTTAAAAGTGTCCATATAAGTAAATTATTTAAAAATTCAAGATCATCTACAAGGATCTACGAGATAACAACGCTGATGATGACACTGAGCCTGTGGGAAGAACAATCCACATGCCATGAGGAACGTGGGTTTCTTCCAGAAMGATGAGTCACAAGTTGGTCTTTTCTTCTAAAATTTGTTTCTTCAGCTACAGCAGCAGAAGTATTGAGTCCGTGTTCATTATTTACTTCGACCTAAAAAGCAGGATATATGAATTACTTACAAATGAAAACCTATTTTCTTTATCTTCTAATTTCTAAGCTGTAAATTCATAATAGCTGACAGGTTAGTAGCTAATAAACAAGTGGATAAATCTCATCTGATGACTRATTTCCTCAGCTGTGAGGCTCACCTATATGGCCAAGAATTAATGGCTGGGTCCAAAGCGGTAGCTTCGTCCTATGCATACCACAAAACCAAAAAACATTTGGGAGAAGCCACACAGCCAATAAAACATATCTGAAGCTCACATGATATTCATTTTAGCATAATATATTTAAACAGTGTAATACATATTTTTGCCCAGTTATAAAATTCTGGCATGATCTGATTACAAACATCAGCATTTGAGCTGAACTCACACTATTTATAGTCCTCACCACAGTGACATACCTGCTGAATCTGTGTATTCTCACATGACTCTCTGTAAACCATTTTCACTTGTGTAATCTTGGAAAATCTATGTCTTTCAGAGTGATTTTAAAATGGGTAAAGTCCCAGGAGGAGATACAAACAGGACAGGATCACAAATCCATCCCAGAGTGGTGACCTCTCCACTGGCACAGTTTCTCATAGAGTGGATCAGTTCCACAAGCACAAGTTAGAAATGTTCTTAAAAAGGATGGGGACATCCCTAACTGGGAATTAAGGATTCAGTATCTGTCCAGATAGAGCTGCTCATAGCTGCAGTAGTTTATTTTATGCTATTATTATTACTCCTATTGCAATTATAATTTCCATTTTCATTGTTACATTAGTACATTGTTCTTATTACACCATAATTATATATTATTAACATATATTATAATATCATTAGTATTAATAATAATGACCTCTGATTCAAGCCAAAATGTAGCTTCTCAGTTTTTCCTCCTAGCCACCCTGCTCCTCTTTTTTTCCACAAAGTCATACATGAAGCAATTCTGAATATTACCGAGTGATCTGGCTGCTGATACTGTGCTTCAAAAAAGCACAACAGTCTTCTTCATAGTCCATGTGCTTTAGTCCCAAAGAGAACACAATTYTTTTTCTGCTCCCCCTGTTTTCTCCTGCCTTTCACACATCTTAATTGAAACTGTATGGCTGAGGGCAAAGATCCTGCTTCTCCTTGTCCCGTAGACTGATGGAGTTACAGGCAGAACAAAGAGCAAACAGGCAAGCCATGATCATTCATATTTGGATTAAAAACTGTTCAACATGGGGACAAGTTCAAATTTAACTTCTGCTCAGAGGTGAGAAGGMAAACTAATCTTAGTCTTGCTAATCATTAATAATTATGGTGGTACTAAGTAGACATTATACTGAATGTGAGCACTTGATAAAACCAGTCTTTCTTCTGCATAGCTGGGATGAGGCCACATCCTCGTATTTTCAATGGGCTATGTTTAGTTAATTTATGGATTAATTAAGGGAAATAAAAAAGAAGAGAAAAAGGGAAATATAGCCAAGATTTCATCTATAAAGTAACATTTATAAGGACTTGTAACATATTTTTACGAGCACTACTCATGTTCAGTTCTAAGAGAATTCTAACTCTCAGAAATGGAGTTTTGTACAGCCTGGACACCAGAAGTCACATTTTTTAGGGATWCTATCAATTTTCAGACTATATATAACTGATACAGAGAGCAATTAACTTATCAAAAGAAGTCAAGRATGTGTTGCAAATGTGTTGCAGAGAGATAAGCATCTGCAGCTCTGGCACAATACACTGACCAAATTATTTCCAGCAATTTGGCTTTTAATTCAGACTTTGATCAYTGATAGTAATTCCCCTCTCAGCTTAGATAAAGGTTCTCTATATCCTTCAGTAGATACAACCAAAACATCAATAAAGAAGAAAACACAATATCATTTCTCTCCCAGTTTTATACTCSTTAAAGCAATAAAGAAGCCAGAGAGGGTCCTTCCAGCCGTGCAAGGATACACACACACAGAAAATGTGAAGATAATATTCTCCACTACTGTAAGATCACCAAGAACCCCAAAATCCCTTGAGCTACTTATCAAAAATCTGCTATCAAAGAGCAAATGATCAGATGCTGTGACTTTTTTACTGCAAAACAAATTAATATATTTCACAGGAATATATCTGTATTTTGTGAATGTGTCTTTTATTCTTTAATTACAGTAAGTTTGCTAAGAAAGTACTAAACATCTTTGAACTTGATGCTTGAAACTAATCTGAATGCAGTTTTAGAGTTTAAAATCTTTCATGGAGAGGTGTAAATGTTGTAGACGTGGCCTTCTTGCTCTTGAATATCAATTTAACTTTATACTCCAGCAAAACCCCCATTTTGCAGCCATCTTTCTGATTAAAAAATGCAGAAAAATATAACTTTAATGAAATATTACTAAAAAAATGTAGATTTCAATGTAGAGCATGCACTTTTAGTCAAAAGTCAGAAGGTTCATAGTTTCATTTAGTTGTCTTAATGTGTTGTTTCTTTCTGTTCTAGTATACACCATAATTTTGGCCCTTCATAATTCTATAATATTTAGGTAAATATGTATTAAAATTTGTCTCTGTTTATTTCTACAAATTGAAATCTTCATCATGAATAAAATACATTTTTTAAACCTGCAGAAATCAATAAAGTCACAAAATTCGGGTATCAACTTCCAACCCCAAACATTTTTTTGGCAATTGTCCACTTTAAATTAAAACTCCTAKCATATGCATAGACCAGGAAAAACCTTCAACCCATTCTAATTCTGTTAACTGCTAAGTAAAATGCAGTAAGTCATTAAATCAGTTTCGGTCAATTAGCTGYACTTGCATTTCATGTCGCATTTAGGAGGCATGAAAGACCCAAAGGTAAATTTAAAGACAAAAAGCAATATCTCAACAAATTCCAACCATAAAGAATTTCCAAACTAACATCTTCTGGTTTACCAATAATACTTTGAAAAATCATCTATTTGAAATTATATGAGTTTCTGTCAAAAAGACATGTACTAGTAATGCCTCCCCATATCCTAATTTGTTCCAAATAATAAGAATAAATATKCATTCAAACTTATTCATTAGGTAGCAAAGCAGGAAGAATCTATAGTRATGTGATTTTCATGGTGCAAGCAAATAAGAGATGACAAAGAGATAATGAACTTCCAGTGAAACTCTACTGATAGTTAGATTTAAAGCTGAAAGGAGTTTTTTAGCAAAAATTTTTTTTTTCAGTAGCTAGACAAATGTGACAACCTCTGCTTTTCTGTAAATGGGTTAATCTCATTAAGGTTTCTGCAGCAGCACAAGCTATAAACCAGCTCTTTTCTTGCTAAAAATTCAGCAAGGMAGCAAATCCACCCTTCAGTGAGAGCCTYTCCTTGCGTTAAGATGAGGCACGAYGTGGCAGACATGKTGATATCTCCTAATCCTTGCTTTAGTGCGTATGCCATCAATGACAAAGTGTCCTTACTTGAATGTTTTATGTGGATTAATTTTTAATTAAGTTCTAATTAAAATATAATTAAATTATCAGTAATCTGATGCCCAAATTATTTTAGGAGAAGGTTAGCTTTCAGTTCAGTTCAGTTAGAAGGATTAATGAGGTCCGTGGGACCAGAACCTTACCTACAGGCTTTACAGGCTTTAACTCAACATGTTCCTGGGGGGGCTGTCGGTAGGAGTATGTGTCAAGTCCGCCTATGAAATCAACTGAAAATACAACAGTTCCAGAAATGAACAAATGGAAATGAAAATATGTCAACTGAAAAAGAAACGTGGACAGATTATGTTAAAAAAAAAAAATTAAAAAGTGCATGCACAGGTTTGCATACAAGAAATAAATCAAATAGATAAAGRTGCTGGAGAAAGTGTTTACGGGAGACTCCGTGCTCTGCCTTTTTTGGGGTTTGTTTAGCCCCAGGCCTGGAAAGACAGGCAGCAGCTGAATGAGCAGACATGCACATTCCTGCCAGTGTGTGTGCAAAAGGAGCATTCACAGATGTGCAGAGCACGTAAAGAGAAACCACTATGGGGTAAAAGAGCTGATTCCCTTTAGGGCAACATATATAAATATATAAAKATATAAAGATATAAATATATAAATATATAGATTCATTCTTGAAAACTGCTTTATAAGTATTTTGAAATTCAGGCAAGGGAAACAGTTTAGTTTGTAAACCTAATTTCCCCATAACTCCTCAGGCTCAATGGACTTGCAGGAATGTAAAACATCAACAAAAACCAATGGAATGAGAGCAGAGTTGAGACTAAACAGGTGATAAGTAACKGTGAAAAAGCAGCAGCAGCTTCTCTGGAGGAACTTGTGGAGTCAGGATGCCTTTTCAGAATCCTTCTGCTAAGAGAAATAATGTGCTCTTGAGAACTTTTTAGTTCCTTCTATAGTGAAAACAGTTTCAAAAAAAGAAATTTTAGTCTGAGTCTTTTATTTTGTTATTTTGGTAAGACTTTAAGAAGGTCCAAGATGCCACAATTTCAAGCTATCCTATAAATCTTAAAGTATGGTTTTTGGAAAAAAACCTGTTGATTTCAAAGGGCTGTTTGCAGACCTGTCCAGAGCTGACAAATTCACAGTACCTAAGGATTTTTCGGTTGCATGGAAAGCAACTTCCTTCATTTGCTTATATAYAGGCATATATACAAAAATTCTGATACTCATTGTACTAACTGCTGTATGAACAACTAATGAAAAAACAGTCCCTTCCCAGTGAATGTGTGCACTAGGCAGATCATCAAAGAGTGCTTAGCYAGGATGAAGAGATGGGAAAATTGAGGCTTAGAGACTGACAAACTGATGACCCACTAAAATCTGTGGAAATGCTCCTGCTGATTTCAGTTTGCCTCTCCTYCTGAGTCCAGAAAAGGTTTAACATGGCTGAAAATTGAATTTGATGTAATTTATTCATACAGTATCACCTTTGCCCCAAGACTGTTCTCTTAAGACTGTCTGAGCAGAACATAATGTGCTGAAGATCTCATCGAGCCCRASTGCCAGCACCAGCCTATCTGCACCTCCTCTTTCCACTGCATTTCTTTCACATTGCAGCTTTCCTTCAGAATTAATAATAATACAAATTTATTTCAGCACTAATGGAATCGAACCCTTACAGAGGAAATACTCGTGGATAAATTTTTGTAAAAGTTGATTCTTAAAACCATAGATTCATAGAATCATAGAATGATTTGGGTTGGAAAGGGCATTAAAGATCGTCTCACTCCAATGTCTCTGCCATGGTAAGGGACACCTTCCACTCAAAGCCTCATCCAACCTGGCCTCGAACACTTCCAGGGATGGGCATCCAGCTTCTCTGGGTAACTTTCTTCAGTGTCTTCTCACCTTCACAGTGAAAAATTGCTTCCTAATATCTAACCTGAATCTACTTTCTTTCAGTTTGAATCTATTCCCCCTTGTCCTGTCACTACACATTCTTGTAAAAAGTCCCTCCCCATCTTTCTTGAGGGCTCCCTTTTATACGGAGCCTACTCACTGGAAGGCCACAATTAGGTCACCCTGAAGCTTTCTCTCCTCCAGACTGAACAATCCCAGTTCTCTCAGCCTTTCCTTACAGGAGAGTGCTCCATCCCTCCAATCTACTTGGTGTCCCAACTCTGGACATGTTTTAACAGATCGATCTCCTTCATCTACTGGGAACCTCAGAGCTGAATGCTAGATGTCTTATACATTACATATTTACTGAATGATTTTTTAGAATAAATCACATCCATAGCTTTTTTGTTTTGTTTGGTTTTTTTTTTGTTATGTACTTTAGTTTTCCCTGATTTCCAAAATTCTGAGTGCTTTTTGCTTTTCCTTTTTTTTTTTTTTTTTTTTTTAAATTGAACACATGTTAACAAGAGAAGCTAAAAGAATGTTTTTGAGGCAATTCACCACTTCAGAACTGCATGTCATTCCTCTCAGCAATCACCAGCACCATCTGCAATTGTAAGCAGGGGGAGAATTCAAAGTAACTAACCTTTCCACTAAATCTTTTTGAGCAAGAAATGAAGTTGAGATGTATTAATGATTGACAACATAGACGTGTCTTTGTTCTGACAAAGAGAATATATTTAATAGCACCATCCAGCMAGTGTTGAGATGAGCTGTTCAAACCTGTTTAACTGAGGCTTTCTCTTTTGCAATCCAAGATGTCTTATGTAGTATTAAAGCTGAAGTTCACCTTAAAATTCATGAAAAGCTCATTCTCCAGGCAAGAAGCTGTTCTATCACTCAAGTCAATGCAATGTGCCATTTTTCATTATGTATTCTATTTTATGGCTGATAGCAYCTTATTATGAAGATCCATCATTAATTATTTGAATTATAAGTTACTTTTAATTCCAAAAATTAATTTTGATTTTGCTTGGTATTTTCATCCCTTATAATTAGCAGTGTTCCAGGACTAAGACCATAAATGGCTGTTAAACACAGAAAATTGAATTTTTATTTTCATTGGAGGCAAAGACATTATTATGTACATTTCAGTGCAAGCAGGCATCAAATACCTTAAAAYTTTACACTGAATGAACTTTTGGATRCATACGTGCCTCTATTTAATTKGCCAAAAGTAAATACCAGCAACATTTATTTAGCTTTCCCAAGGGAAAAACTGTGGTTTAAGGATGATATAAAATAATTGGTTTTGTTTATTTCTGCCTGCTTAATGGATTACGGAAAATTTCTGCCATAGATCCATAGCTACACTAAATAGCTTCAGAAAGTTACATGGAAGCATGGAAGAAAGTTCAGTTAAAGAACAGTGTTCTATGCAGTTCTGTAGTATTATGCATTAAATTAAAAAAAAACCAAAAAACAAAACACAACAACAAACCTGAACCAAACCAAGAACCACAACTTGTTAGCAGTAGGGACATTCAGTCACTAAACAAGGAACACCCCATGCAGTCCAATCATTAACTACAGTCATGCAGAGAGAAACTTAAAGTCCTAAGGAGAGGATTTTTTAGCATCCCACAGGTAATAGCAGGTTAYAGCAGAAGCTGGTTATTTTATCTGCAGCTGGCTGCAAAACATGATCCCTGTTCCCAGGGAATTGCTCTCTCCTTGTGTCACCTCAGTTCTGTGGTCATGCTGGATGCTTAATGGCCAGTGTGAAATGTTCCTTTAGAGTTCACTACCTGCTGTGCTTGGAAGTGCAAATCTGAGCTGGCAGTCCACCCAGGCAGCCCATTAAAGTGATGTTCATTCATTCACGGGCCATATCAGAGAACCAGTTGTCATAATCTGCCTGAGTGAGAAAAGTGCAGTATGCTGCTGGCTGAAGGAAGTGTATTCACTGTCATCAGTAATTTTGAGGGTTATTCTTTTCCAGACAGATGACATTTTGGGTTGCCTTGCTGCTATTTATCTGGTGCATTCATCCACATGCAAGTTAAAATTTGCATTCCTTCAAAGTTAGCGTAAAAGAATCAGAGCTTGGGGAAAAAAAATTCCTGTCTTCTATTCCACCCTCTCATCTGGAATTCAGCTTCTCTGGCATATCCCATTGACCTGCTGGCACTTCCTGTGCAAACAGCTGCCAGAGCTTGTCAGCTCATTGGTATAYTACTAATTTCTTCTTTCAAAGTTGGCAAATTCTAAGAATGTCTGGAGGTGCAGGATATGAACAGAGCAGCAATATGGTGATAGCACAATTCTTAGTAAATCCTGGTGTCTCTTGGCCTGGAATACCTTTGATCCTATTGATGACTGTGTCCCCATTTTATAAATGGGAGTAAGCCCCGAAGCTGATGGTGTGAATGGTTGGCACCTCCAGCTGCCCCCTTTCCAAGAGAGGCAGACTAGCAKCTCCTCAAACTTGTATTTTATTACAGAAGATTTTCTTAACCTATGGGGTTCAAAATACTATTTTGCATTGAATCATTTTCCTTGTATTGAGATTTTTTTTTTGAATGGCAACGTATCAATGCAACTCCATTCATTAAGAAAAGGTATGCAGCTGAGGAGGGTGTAACTAGCAGAAAAGGATCCAAAATCAATTAGAAAGAGGAAGCAAAACTGGGGGATTGATGATAAGTCAGTGCTACATGCATAAAGTCCAAACTTTGCACTTTCCAATGTTTGTACTAGTAACTTACATAAACTTTCCAGAAAAGTATGTTTTATTCCTAGGGTGTCTACTTTTCCAGTTGCCTTCCGCTCTCAAGAGATCTGCTGCCCTCACACCCTTCACTGCACTGATCCAGCTGTCTGTCTGGAGCCAATTTTACCCATTTTCCCCTTTTCACCCTAACCCTGAACATCTAAGTCTCAGGTCATGTAGCAGAAGAATCACACATTCCATTGCAGGATCACAGGAATAGCTTCTCATTTATGCAGAGGACTAAAGGAGGGAAAATGTGTGCAAGACAATTAGGAAAGGGAGAAGAAGAGACATCAGTAATCATTTGTGGCACTTTGATTGCTGCTCTGTCTCTATAAMGTACTGGCAGATGGTAATCAGGTTCAAATAGGATAAAGTGGTAGAAAATTACTAAGAGATAACCTTTTACTTAAATTTTTTATTACTGGAAGCTAGAAGGGGAATATTTCAGTGTTCCACAGTAATTATCAAGATATTTGCACCAGATTTTCTTCTTAGTCTTCACCAGTGGGAAGATCATAATTTTAAAAACTGCCCTACCCCTTTTAATATGTAAGTACCACACTTCCCTACAGGGCTGAACTGAAAAAA